TGACTGCCCCCCAGGGACCCCTGCCCCATTCAACCCCCCCTTCTCCCAGTCCCCTGAATACCCCCCCAGAACCCTCGCCCCTGACTGCCCCCATTCAATCCCCCTGTTCCCCTCCCTCTGACTGCCCCAACCCAACCCAACCGGAGTGAGCCACGCACCGTGCAGCACCGAGCACCGGGTCAGGCCACGGCTCTGCACCTGCACTGCCCCAGGAGCTCGCAGCCCCGCTGCCCAGAGCATTGCGCCGGCAGCGCAGTGAGCTGAGGCTGCGGGGGAGGGGGAACAGCAGGGGAGGGGCCGGGGCAAGCCTCCCAGGCCAGAAGCTCAGGGGCCGGGCAGGAGGGTCCAGTGGGCCGGATGTGGCCCACGGGCCGTAGTTTCCCCACCTCTGTTCTAGACGACCCTCTTATGCTCATTGTTGAGGAGCACTCTGATAGGGTCATTAGCTGTGAGCCATATGAAGCATCCTGCAACCTCTAATAACTGTTCAAAGACACAAAGATCAGGGGGCTGCCACTTACTGAAAGTGGTGGAAGGCCTGGGGAATGGTATAGTGTGAAAACTTCTTGGCGTGTGAGATATAACTACACACTTCTAGGGGCATAGAGAACTCCAAAACTTGCAAAAGGAGATATTTTACAAGTAGGACCCAATTCAATTTAGTGCCAAAGAGCATGGGTTGGTATTAGAACGTATACAATATTTAAGTGTAGAGGAGCTGGAAGCTGGAAATCCCATGGGATGCAGCTATCCACCCAATGAAGTAGCAAGGAATCACCCTAATAAGAATGTGCCAAGGTTCATAAATTACTAACTCTGCTTCTTAAAACACACAAATGGTTTAAACAGCCCATTGTGGCTTGGCAGGAAAATACGCTCAGAACAACAGGATACACAACAGGCAGCATAAAATGTTCTCAGATGTAACAATCTCTGCAGTTCCCAGAACATAACAATCCTTAAATTTCACAGGATCAAAAAAGGACATAAAATCTATTAGATCATTAAGCCACTCACCCAGCCAGGGTAGGTTGTGTACACAGGACAGATCAGATGTTAAAATTAATACCATGTCTAAAGCATAGTAATGTATTCTTGATGAAGATACAAATGAAGAAATGTCTGAGAATTTAGGTCTGAAAGTTGCTGTCAGGTTAAAATTCAGTTTTGTCTTCCTTAAAATTAATAAACACATTTCCACAACTTAACAGCAAAGCCCTGACCTACCTGTAGGGTTACCTCTCTGTCACGAACCCCCAGCTACAGCACCTCCCTTTCTCACTCTCACTTCCTACTTTCTGCCTGCAAATACAAACACTTCACTTTGCAGTTCAGCGACAGAATTTCTGTAGAGCCCCAGTCCTGAACAGGTATCAAATCACAATCTCGAAGTTCACCAAAAAAAAAAAATCAAAGGAGAAAAATAAATAATGAACACGCACACAGTTCTCATTGGCCTCAGAATCTACAACTCACAGCAGTTCATCTGCCATTGATGCCAAGTCAATTCATTCTGTTCACAGCTAAAGATAATTATTGTTCCTGGGACAGCAAAAATCATAGTCGTTTCGTTGGTGCTTAGAATTGTTTATAAGTGGTTTTATAATCCCAAACCTCATTTGTTATAATGGAAGTATTTGCTCTTCTACAGTTCAAACTGGGTCTGGAGTTTCTGCGCATTGGGTCAATAATCTGTGTTTTCAAAATAAGAGTCATGTAAGATGTATTAACATAAGCTGTGCATTAAGACAATTATTTATATGCCGGGCAGTAATGGCTCCACGCTTTCCTTTGTGTAAGGGGACTGTTGCCCCCTTACTAACATTCAGTGGGAGTGTTTTAGTTGCTAGCTCCCAGTACTCAAAGGGGAAGGGTTGATGGGAAATCAGGACCCTGAGACTGATAGTCCCCAGGAACAATGGGGAGAGGCCAATGCTCCAGGTCAGCCTGAATGACAGGGCGGGCAGGCTCATCAGGGAGTTAGGAGGCCAGGGATGTCCTCCGTGTGAGCTGGAATCGCCTGGGTCAGACAAAGTGGGCAGCAGCCTGCAGAGCAGACCTGTCCTGGGAGCAGAGCTGTAGCAACCAGAGGCAGAGGGGCCAAAGAGGCAGCCCAGGGATCTGGAGGCAGAGCAGCAGCAGCGCTGAGACAGAGTGGTGGAGCTGGGGCTGGAGCAGTCCGGAGCTGGGTGCGGTGAGCTGGGGAGAGCGAGGGGGATCCTGGGCAGCGGGCCCAGTACAGGGAGACACCTCAGCCAAGAGGCTCTGCAGGCCAGACATGGATCGTAACCCGGACAGGGCAGGGGCGACACTGGGAAGAAGGGTCCTACCACTTAGAGTCTGAGAGCGTGTGGCCACTACCAGAGCAAGTGTCCAACCCACAGCATCCCTGCAGCACAGCCAGGGCCGGAGAAGGCCTGGGACTTACAAGGAACAGACTGTGAACCGCCCTGACGTTCCAGAGACACTGTTTGTGGTGGTCCCTGCCACAGAGCGGGTTGATGTGTTTCCTTTAACCTTTCCCATTTTTCCTTATTGTTTTTAAAATTAATTGTTGATTAAATAACTTGCATTTGCTTTAAATTGTACGTAATGGTCAGTGGGTCAGAGAAGTGCCCAGTGCAGAGAGAGTACCCCGGAGTGGGGACACCCTAGCCCCTGTCCTAGGTGACCACAGCAGGGTTGGGGGTCGAGCCCCCTAGGAATCCTGGGCCCAGCCTTGTTGGGGTCACGAGGACTCTGCCAGACAGGAGAGTGGAAGGGGAGTCCTTAAGGGCAGGGAGGCCACTGGGTAAAGGAAGTGGGAGTGAGGACTCAGATCCTTTTGCTAGCCCACTTCGCCCACTTCACCGAGGTAGTGCAGAAGCCAGGAAAGTTCCCCACAATAGCGGGACTATTCCCCTGCTTACAATTGTATCAAATCTCAGATACTTCAGAAAATTACCACTTTAAATAAAGAAAATTAGCATAATGTTAATGTTGTAACAAGTGAACAATAAGAATTGTCCAGAGTCAGACTGATTCTCTATCCTACGATCCTCACCCCCCAAAACAACTAGATGTGCCCCCAAAGCTGGTAGCAGCCACACCTGTTTACATTTTTTAAGCACATACACTTCCTCACATCTTTAACTTAGTCTAATGAAATACCTCTAACAACAACAAAACAATTTAAGATGCATTTTTACCCATTACCAAAATTCTCTTAGTTTTTGGGGTACACAATGAGATCATTTGTCACCTTGTTTACAGCAACCCCTCAACTCCTTCTCAGTGGGGCATGACCCTTTCTTTCCCTGCCCTTCTCCCTAGATATTGCAACGCCTTTCTAACAGTGCATGATGGAGCTCTACTGCCTTGGCACAAAGGAAATGAGCCAACACTGGTGAGTAGTGCCAATGTTAAATTGGAACATTCTTGCTTTGGCCACACATTGTCTTTTAAATTTACATTAACAACATGAGTCACATTAACATCTGTCCCTTACAAGGCCATTTTCAAGTTTAATTTGGCTCTAGTTTAGATTACGTAAAAATAAACTCTCTTACCAATCTAAAATAATTAGAACTCTCCCCATTTTGTTTTAATTTCAATGAAATCAGTTGTTTTAAACCAGTAAACATGCCCCTGCTGTATGAGAAATTCACCACTGAGAACAGGGAAGTGAAACTGACAATAAACAAAAGTAAAACAAACCACAGTGATTTTCTTCACACAAGTGGAGAGAAGTGTAAAAACTAAACAAAGAATGACAAGTAACTTGGATTTTTTAAATGATTTCTCTTTTAAAACTTGTATGTGCTATTAGTCACAGATAAATACATTTGCTTGCAAACAATAATTGATGTCTGTTTTTAAATTGGCAGAGTATGTGACCTTTTTTGTGCAAATACCTCCACAATTGTTTGCAGGCAACCAAATTCAGAAACTTCACATTTAATAGAAAAATTATTAAAATACATAGTAGTACATCCGAATTCCCTTCCTGCAAAGGTATGGTGCCTTGGGGCGCACCTCCATTGACCTTTGAGATGGTTACTTCAGCGTGAGAGATTTGTATTGGTACAGAGTAAGTTTTTTGTACATCAAGTATCAGCTCTATCAAGTCTCACTCACTTGGATAGAGACTCCCTCCCTTTCGAATCAAAAGCACTATATTAATCAAGTACTAGACAGCATTGTGAAATCAGATCGGATTAATTTCCAAGGGCAGTTTTTGTGTGGGTATTTTTTAAGTCTCTCCACGTTCGGATACGGGATTTTGCACTCTGGGGTGTTTTTTTGTTTGTTTGTTTGCTTGTTTCTAAATCTCAGCTGGCCATTACGGCTTCCAAGCAGCCTTGGGGGCATGTCCTTGCAAACCACTATGGAGATCTAGGGGCATTTCTTGCATTGCAAAAAAGGAATCCACAAGTAGCGGTGCCCAGAACAGAAACCACCCGTGCCCTGCCCTACCTCACCCCCCCCCAAACAACAGTAGGTGGTGAATGCCCTCAAGCAACCGAGAGAAGCCCCTCTTCAGCTCTGCCTCTCCCCCCTGCTCCCCCCGCAGCAAGCACAACTTGTTGGTGCTGAGCTGCAGCCACCAGTTGCACTTTCCACTCATGCACAAACCCAAGCACTAACTGGGGTGGGAGATGAGGGGGGGAGTGAAATCGGACTTCTTTTAAATCCCGTTAGTAAAGCCCAAGCAACAAGTGTCTGCAGAGAGCGCCTGGGAATCATTAGGAGTGAAGAGAGGTACCTGACACTGCACCGCCACTGCAGCTGCCTCCAGCCTCTGAGCTCTGCTGCTCCAGCTGCTGCTGCTGGGCGCTCTACGCTCCGAGAGCACCAGCTGTCACTCAGCGCACGCGAATCGCGAACCCACCCTGAACGAGGCTTTCTTGAGCCAACCGAGACGCCGTGGGTTTGGGATGTACCATCCTGAAGCCGGGGGTGGGGCTGAATTATTTATTTCCCCGCGCGCGCGCTATGCCGTAAATCGCTATTTATCACCGGTTGTATTGCACCTTGTGTCTGCTCCCCTCCCCCCGCCAAATCAGGTATAGTGGTATCGCCGACGGAGAGGGGCAACTGCCGTTGGAGCAGCGGTAGCGGCGCGTGGGGGGTGAAGCTATCGGGCGCGGTGCAGGCCCTGCTGAGGTAACGGGAACCAGTGACTCGGGCGGGAGGGGGGCTGTGGGCGAGTGAGAGCCCCAACGGGCCCCTGCCCCGACCCGGGTCCCTCTTTCAGTCACCGCCGCCTTCCCAGCAGCGGTTCCCCTGCTCGGAGCCCCCGCCTCTTCCTTGGAGACACCCACCGGGGTCTCTCCCCGCCCCGGCGTCGCGCGACCCGTAGCCGCCCCGCCCTCCCCGGCTTCCCGCGCGCAGTTCGCCCAGTGCTTGGCCAGGGAGCCCCGAGTGCCCCCCTCCTCCCCCCCCCCGCCTGCAGAGAGCGCGCCCGGCGCGCGCCGTCCCAGCAGGCGGGGCGGGGCGACGGTCCTGGGCCAGCGCATCCGCGTGGTGAGTGTGAGGCGGGGCCCGGCCCCCGTGCGCGGCCGGGGCGGGGGCCCAGGCGCTGTCCCGAAGCGGCGCGGAGCTGAAGGGCCCGGGGGTCCCGCGGAATCCGAGAAGATCAGGGTTGGGAGCGACCCCGAGTGCAACCCCTCCGCTCAAAGCAGGAGCAGCCCCACCTAAATCATTCGAGCTAAGCCGGGCCCTAAAAACCTCTCAGGATGGAGATTCCCCCACCTCCCTAGGTAACCCGTGCCTGGGCTTCACCCCCCGCCCAGTGAAATAGCATCTCCCCCCCGTCGCTGCAGCCCAGGCCCCCACAGTGAACCACCTTGTCTCTGAACAAACCAGCCCCCCAGCAGCTGCCTCCCGCCCTTGGGTCTAACACGGCTGCAGCGCCGAGCTGCTGTTCAGTGGCACTTGATCCACTCAGCTGCTGCGCGTGCGCCCCCCCCCCTTTTTTTTTTAAATTTCTAATCCAAGGTATGTCGAGCAAGGCTCCCTAGCTGCCACCGGTGTAAACTGCTCAAACGAGTACGTCTGTGTCTACAAGGCCACTTTCAGCGCTAAAACTTTAGACGTTCAGGGGTGTGAAAAAACACACCCCTGAGCAACAAAGGTTTTAGTGCTGAAAAGCGCCAGTAAAGACAGCGCTTTATCCTGGCGATAAAACTACCACTGCTCGTTAGGGGTGGGGCGGATTTATCACCGGGAGAGCTCTCCCGCAGCGATAAAGCACGTCTACACTGCCCACGTCACAGCGCTTCAGTGGCCACGCTGTAACGTGGGTAGCATAGACATACCCTACGCTGCCCATGTCACAGCATTGCTGTGCTGTGGCCACACTGTAACATGGGCATTGTAGATGTACCCTAAAGGGCCCCACACAGGCTCTTTAGGCGCCCCACAGTGTCTCCTACATGGCTCTTTTTAACAAGTTTACCATCCCGCTGCCAGAGCCTTTCCTCTCCCGCAATAGGAAAATGTTCCAGCAGCGGGGAAGCTGCCAGAGCCTTTCACTGCGCTTTGTACGTACTTACATACATACATACATACCACAAAAAGGATCCGATGAAGTGAGCTGTAGCTCACGAAAGCTTATGCTCAAATAAATTGGTTAGTCTCTAAGGTGCCACAAGTACTCCTTTTCTTTTTGCGAATACAGACTAACACGGCTGTTACTCTGAAACCTGTCATACATACCACAGTGAGGAATGGGGATACAGCCTGCTTTTCACGGCAGTGCGGAGCTAGATGTGTAATGCCTGTACTCTGCACACAGTGGTAAGTGCAGACATAGCCTCACCGGGGGTTGTGTTAAAACTGCTTGTGGACTGAAACTTCTAAGCAACAAAACATAAGTTTCTGAACTGAAAGGCTAATGTACAGCTGCTCTATACTAATAATAGGTTAATCAATCCACTAGTATCATTAAAATAAACAAAAGGAGAATGTTTATACTTGGGTGGTGGAGCTGACCCTTCCAGCTGTGGTGCAGTCCTGGAGTTCCCACCTCCCTTTTGCCCTATGTGAAGAACTTCCATTGTGATATTTTATAGATGCATCAAATGCATTCTGACATGTAAACGCAAGCAGCAAGCATGTTATTTGGTTAATGTTTTGACAGTTACTGCAAGAAAATGATTATCCCGGTCAGATGCTTCACCTGCGGCAAAATAGTTGGAAATAAGTGGGAGGCATATCTTGGCCTTCTGCAAGCAGAGTACACAGAAGGGTAAGTATTTCTTTATGCTCCTTGGCCCTGATCTTGCAAAGACTTAGCCAGACCTGGTCTATGCTACAGAGGTAGATTGATGTAAGACATCTTACGTTGACCTAACTCTGTCTTTGTCTACACTACAATGGTGCTCCCGCGGATGTAAATTGCCCACTACATCGACTTAATAACGCCACCTTCATGAGAGATGTAGTGCTTAGGTCAATGAAGTTAGGGTAGCCCAGTGTCTGTATAGGCACTGGAGACCCGGCCCCATCACTGACAGTCAGCCACCAGGTTCACAGCTCTTCCTGCGCCCCCAGCACTGTCAGCAGGGCATTGGTCTCAATGGGAGCTGGAGAAGAAATGTGAAATAGCAGCCGTGAAACTGGTAAAAATGTCAGTTTGCTTCTGGTAAGCTCCCTGCTGTGAAATTGATCCCCACCCTGGGCACACAATGCCCCTTGCTCCAGCTGTCAGTGCCCCACAATGCCCCACTGCACTCGGAGTAAGCGCTCCCGGTGAGGATGTGCACCACTGGCAGAAGGAGGGTAGCGTGGACACCAAGAGCTGATTTAATTGCTGCAGTGGCTGTAGGTTGACCTAATTTTGTAGTGTAGACAGGTCCTCAGTGTTCATGCTTTGACTTCGCTGGGGTAGTGCCTTAAGTTAAGTATGTGTGTAAATAGTCACAGGCCCTCGTTTGCCACTTGACTGCTTTCGCTGCCTGTTAAGTTTCCCGCAGGGTTATAGGAGTTTTCACCAGCCCTACCCCCTACGTCTTGTCTGTAAACTGAGCAAGGGCACCCACCACTTGATTTTTCAGGGGTACTGGGCATTCACATCTCTTATTGAAGCCAGTAAGTGTTCAGCAACTTAGAAAAACTACCCTTTCTGTCCAGTGCTTTTTCTAATAGCTGAAGGGGGAGACTTCACCACAAAGCCTACACCACTGTTCCTTCAACCATAGAGGCAGAAAAAAGCCGTTATATCACCTCGCCAAAGGGATGATCGGAGGCTTGAGTAAAGACCCAAACAATCTCAGGCTGTCTGACGTAAGTTATGCCAACATAAGCTGTAGTGTATTCAGGGTGTGAATAAACCAACCCCCTGAGCGACATAAATTATACCGACATAAGCATTGGTGTGGACAGCGCTATGTCAGCGGGAGAGCTTCTCCTGCCGACATAGCTACTGCCACTCACGGGGGCAGGAGTAGTTAAGCCACTGGAAGAGCTCTCTCTCATTGGCGTAGAGCGGCTACATTTACAGCCACTAGCGCCCCTGCGTACTTGCTAGTGTAGCCATGCCCTTAGATGAACACTGTAGGGGTGAAAAATAAACTGAATTCAACTTTGCCAGCAGTTTGTTACAGCAGGACTGCAACTGGAAAATACATGAAAGAGGAGGGGATTATAAGTGGAGGCCAAGATTGTCAAAAGTAGCTAGTAATTTTGGGTACCTACCCACTTGAGCTGTGTGCCAGAGCACGTAATTTCTGAAAGTCAAGTCCCTTTTAAGGTGTCTCAGGTTGGGCACCCAAATTTGCTAGTCATCTAGGAGAGATGACTGAGGGGTTTTCGGGAGTATGTTCTATCCTTCAGATGAAATGATTAATCACATAATTGTCCCTCAATATTTGGTTGATAACCGAAACACTACTCCACATTTAGCATAGTCTACTTGGAGCTGCCCAAGAACTAGAATTATCCTGTAACTTGGAGATTTCTCTCAAGTCACACTATAAATCTCAGTTATGCACCAGACAGATCCTAAGTGTCTGCTTGAACATTAGGAAGCATAACACCGTTGAAATAAGCTTTCCTTTCATAAGTCATTTAAAAGTAAATCACAAAATCATTTGTAATTTTTTACCAACTGTTATGTACAATTGGCAGATCAGAAAAAAATAATGTATTGTGCATTTGACAATTCATTATGTATTGCTACTTCCAGTGTTTATTCTGCAGTCAGTTTCCCTTTAAAGCAATTTATAACAAATCCAGCTTTCAATGAGGTTTGGGGCTTAAGACTCCCAGCTTTACCAGACAGACTATGAAGCTGAGATTAGTTTTAAAAAAAACAAAACTAAAATCTTCCCTTGCCTAGCTTTAAACACACGGGGATTCATAATCCACCCCTTTAGCCTCTTCAGAGCTTCTTGCCAAGGTTGTAGAAAAGACTTACCTCACAACTGAGATTTTATTTCTCATTTGTCAGTTGTGTTAGATGAATGTGCAGTGAGACCCAGTCACTACTTTTCCTAAATCCCATTGCTGTCCTGGAGTGCGTACTTGTAAGTGCCCTTCCAGAAAGATCACACCAATGGATGTTGTTGAGCTCAGATACTGCAGGTCCAAGAAGGAAATTATGGCAATTTGTGCTGTAGCTTCATCGTATAGAGTTAATTATAGCTTATAGAAACAACACAGAGCAGGGTTCTAAGAATTTTTTTTGTAATGCTCATTTTAATAGCTATTTATCATGGCTGTGTTCAGTGGCAGCTTGCTAACGACCATTCAGTTCCTAGATAGGGTATTTGTTTTTTCAGTCTTTAGTTTAAGTAATTCTACTTAGAGGAATGCCAAAGCCATGAACTATTTGTGGCAGAAATGTACATTTGAGACTTGATAGGATTGTTTTGACATATTGTGGACCTGGTTCTGAGCTCACTAGTGTAAATCGGGAGCAATTCAACTTTGTGGAGTTACACCATTGTAATATCAGAAGCAAGGCTTCTGGCACTAAAACTTGGGCTACAGCTACACAAGAGAGCTTACAGTGGCACAGCTGCTCTGATGCAACTTAACTACTCCAGCCCTCATGAGTGGTGGTAGCAGCTTTCCTGCTGCCATAGTGCTTTCCACACCGGCGCTTATGTCACTCAGGGGAGTGGTTTATTCACACCCCTGAGCAACATAAGTTATGCTGACATAAGCTGTAGCATAAACATAGCTTTAGAGTTACAAAGAAGCTCAAATGATAAATGCAGCCTGAAATAGAGCATGCCCTAGGCGCGCACATTGATTTTTTTTTTGTACCATTTCGATGTATGGATTCCTGTATCTCCTAAGGTGAGGAGAGTTTCTGCAAGCTCTTCTCTACTGTGCCATGAGCAATGAAACTGCATACAATTTTAGGTAATGGTGTGCAGCCTTCTGACAATCGTCTGGGCAGATAAATGTCAGATGCAACGGAAATCACTTATTGTAACTTAAGAAATGAGTGAGGAAAATGGAACAATGTGTAGTGCAGGGGTGGGCAAACTACGGCCCGGGGGCCACATCCAATCCTCCAACCTGTTTAATCTGGTCCTCGAGCTCCCGCTGGGGAGTGGGGTCTGGGGCTTGCCCTACTCCTACGCTCCAGCTGGGGCAGCGGGGTTGGAGGCCGCTCTGAGCGCGTGTGCCGAGGCTCTCGGAAGCAGCAGCATGTCCTCCCCCCAGCTCCTATGTTTAGGGGTAGCCAGGGGACTCCGCACGCTGCCTCGCCCCAAGTGCCACCCCCACGGCTCCCATTGGCCAGGAACTTCAGCTAATGGGAGCTGCAGGGGTGACGCCCGCAGATGGGGCAGCGTGCAGAACCACCTGGCCATACCTCTGCATAGGAGCCGGAGAGTGGACATGCTGCTGCTTCCAAGAGCTGCTTGAGGTAAGTGCCACCCGGAGCCTGCACCCCTGACCCCCTCCCATGCCCCAACTCCCTGCCCCAGTCCTGATCCCTCTTCTGCACTCCAACCCCCTGCCCCAGCCTGGAGCCCCCTCCCACATCCTGAACTCCTCATTTCTGGCCCAACCCTAGAGCCCACACCCCCAGCCAGAGGCCTCACCCCCTCCTGCACCCCAACCCCAATTTCGTGAGCATTCATGGCCCACCATACAATTTCCATACCCATGGGCCAAAAAGTTTGCCCACCCCTGGTGTAATGGCAGAAACTGCGGTGTCTCACTAAAAACATGTTTTCCTTCCTTATAAGCACAGGTTTGTGGAAGGTTGAAGAAGAGAGGGAAACATCTAAGGAACTGGTGCTTCTGAGTACTGATTTAGCTGAAACTATACAGTGTATACGATTTCTAAACTTGTAGCTCATTGTTGTATTCTGCAGCTCTGACTGTCAGAACAGTATGACTTGAGAGGTCAGAATTTTCCAAAGTAACTGTTACTTGTCAGACTTAAACTCTTCCCATTTGAAAAGTGTTCTGCTTTGTAAAAGTATGAAGATGCAGTGTGATGCGTTAGTCATAAAAACCACACTTCCTGTGCCCTTATCACAAAAATATGCATTTACTATAACAACTGTCTCATGTACTACTTGAAGAGTAACTTCTGCACATACTTGTTTTGCACTGGAAAACATACTTGCTGTTGAAGCCCCCCTCTTTAAAACCTTAAAATAAATTGAATAAAGTACTAGCAAAAACTGTAGGAGCAATCCTAAGCCAACAGGTGGAAGGACTAGCTGACTTAATAGAATTTCTGGAACTTATGATTCTGAGAACATTGTTTAGTCCTTATCACATCCACCCAAACAGTTGACCAAGATCCAGTTAATGTAAAAGCTTCCTGGACTTCGTTCAGTGATTACAAAGAGTTCATGAACAGCAGCTCTTCCCATTCAATCCCATGTACAGTGTTAGTTTTGTTTTAAATTCATTTTGGGAATCAAATACTGGATTATTACAGCAATGAATAATGCAAGTCTAAAGATTACTAGGATTCAGTCCATATATTTTGAGGATAAACCAGTTTTGAAGAAAACTGAACTACATTTATTTATGATCCATGGGTTGGGGCTACAATGTTCAGATGCTACTCTACATCCACTGGGAGATGTGTACAGTGAGTGAGGGTAGAATATGGTTCAGGTAGTGACCAAACTTGTAATTACATTTAGCATCACTTAAGAGTAGGTAAAAGGTGGAAAATAATACAGGGCACTTTTAAGTGTGTGTATTGTTTGAGCCATTTGCCTTATTACCCAATTCACACATGCAATTGCATATGCTTAAATTATTAGAAAATCTGGTTCAACTAAAGCATCCCATTTATGAACAGAGGTAGTTCACATTTGTGACCCATTAAAAGATAGCTTCAGACTTGTCTATGCTTCTTTTCAGGTAACTTTTGGCCTTCATCTTTGCAATAGGAGTGCCTCATATTTTAATGTATTGACCCTTAAACATCTCAGAGGTAGGCAAGCATTATCCCCAGTTTTACAGATAGGAAACTGACAGATTCTTTGAGCTGGAAAACTAATCTACATCTTTCAAGTGCCTTAACCACACACTTGTCCTTTCTTCCACTGTAACAGTAGCAGGGTTCCTAGTTAGTATAGATGTGACCAGACTATATCCAAGTAACTGGCTTAAAATCCTGGACAGTTTGACTTATCACAGTAGTGGGGATGCTGTTACAGTACAAGGTTCAAAACAGCATCCTGTTACCAGGCTGTCGTCTCTGGTCATCCGGATTTTTAAACCAGAGTAGGTCCCCCTCTATGCTACCAGTTGCAACAATGGTGAAACCAAGTCCCCTTTCTCAGTTATAATAATGTAAATGGGGCCTAAACAGGCTGCATGGGCTTAGTTAAAAGTCATGTTCACAACCATGAAGTCTAAAAACAGGTTTCCTAGCTGGAAAAACTTGCATTCAGCTTACTTGTCATGGGTTGAGTTTGACATTGTCTTTCATAGTGGAGAGAATCCTTCTGAACTATACATAGAGCTTTTGGATTTCCAAAAGCAGTTAATTGTGTCCTATGGGAATTAGGCAGAGTCAGATTTACCACCTGTAAGAACAAGGTGGAAATATCAATGTCAGTTTGATTCTGTATTTAACTTTAGTTCCACAGAAAGAGTGGGACCCCCTTGTTGATTTAATCTGACAGGAAGAGCAGGCTTCAGCTACATATCCTGCTCAGCAACAACACTGGAAAGAACATTAACAGAAATAAAGATACCCATCCAGGACCGAGCAGGGGTTCTTAAAAGCTGCCGACTACCCCTATGTTTCTCTTGTCACTCTAGTTTAAAGTCTCAAGTATGTTGCTTAGGACCATTTTCAATGCTACTGTTCTAAGGAATGCTTTTTCACTGTGTCATTTGTTCATTGTCAGGGATGCCCTGGACGCCCTAGGATTGAAGAGATACTGTTGCCGTCGCATGCTGCTAGCCCATGTGGATCTGATTGAGAAGCTCTTGAATTATGCCCCTCTGGAGAAATAAGCAGTGGGTGGAAGGTTTCATACTGCAGCCATATGGGCCAAAAAAGCACCACTAGCAAGCCTCCAACTGTACTGTTCAGGAGTTAGACAGATGCAAGCCAATGAAGGATTTCACTTTCCAGCCACAGTACTGCCCCAGCCACTGATCTCTTCCAAGGAAGCATTTGAAAGATGAAATCCACTTACAGTCCAGTATTGGAATTTAATTAAAATGTGGACGGAAGATTTTTTTGCAGCAGCCTGACAGTCAAGTAGGCAGTTTTCCTTCCCTCTTTTCTTTCCTTCAGTACTTTTAAGAAATTTTCACCCAGTAACAGTATTTAATAAAGTTTTTTTATGAAATGTAGCCAAGTTGTTTCATGATTACAGAATTGTATTTAGTTGTCCCCTTTCTCTCCCCAATCCAATTTCAGTTGCTGGATAGGGTTTTAGTGTCCACTAAACTTGAAATTCCTTATTCCTGGTGTTAAAGTTAAAACACCAGTCAATACTGAAAAGAAATTGTTCCTTCTCTTGAACAGTTGTCTACACTAGTGTACAGGGAAGAGGCTGGGTCTGAAGTTCTGAGTTCCAACATAGTATCTACTTTCCTTACTATGTAAGAAGAGAGGTCATTTTGTAAGAGCAGATATTCCTCTTCATGGTCAGTCATAGTAGGGGGTATTTCCTACCTCAGGGAATGAAGCAGATGACTTTTGCTAGAACTTAGTTTAGAACATTGACTGTGGAAAAAGCAAAGGGAGCAGCGATTATAGCCCTGATCCTGTACACACTTACATGCTTAACTTGTGAGCTGTCCCTCTAAAGCCAATTAACAATTTAAGTGAAGTTGAGCATGCATGTTAGTATTGGCAGGACAGAGGTCTATAGCCTTGATCCTGCAAGATGCTGAGCACCCTCCACCTGATTCAGCAAAGCACATAGTCAGGCGCTCAGCTTAAGAGTACATGAGCAGTTCTATTGAAGTCAATGGGACTATTCACATCTTAATGTAACATATGTACTTAACTGCTTTCCTGGCTCAGAGCCAGAATATTCAACAGCTTGCAGGACTGAACACTAGGTCCTCAGCAGTTACTCTCACATAAATCTTGGCTATTAGGAGTGTGTGTTAGGTAAGACTCTTTCCACCACAAGTCTGGAGGATAGTCACCCTTTAACTTCTGGATGCTGTCAGAAGAGACATCAATTTAGTCTTATCGCTAAAGGAAGGACTATACTTCTCTCACTGCACCTTTCTCAACATGTGGTACCTGTATCTCTACTGGCTGAAAGAGTAGTTTCCACATGCAATTCCCCTCCTCACCACCCACAAAGAGTAAGAGGCACAGGTCCTGCACTGTGTATATGCCCAGAACTCTCCCCTTGAGAGTGCAGCTTCAGCCTACATGCAAATGTTAGACATAATTCGTAGCCACACTATGTTGCTAGAAGATAAACTGGAGCAGATTATACAATAATTCTCTAATTTGGAGACCATATTCCTTGGCAGCATTCACTTTCTTGGCACATATAGCTCAGCTGCTGAGCAAGTAGTAACTGGATTTTTTTCCCCATAAAGAAAACTGCAAAGTTGGGTTAAACAAAATCTGGTTTCTAGATGAGTGCTGTTTAATAACTCGGACTATTACTGGGCACAACTGCTTCTCTATACAGTGGTCCAGTTTTGCCACAGTACCTTTCATTGGGCTTTAACAATTTTCTATAAAAAAGTTATCAAGTTTCTAGCTATATTGATCAGTCCCAGGAATCTTTATAGTTTAAACTTCCTTTAAGTTTATTACTGACAGTTTTCCAAATGAACTGCGGAATGTTGTATTTTAAAACACATGCTTTATCCTAATGGAAAGGGCATTAAGTGATTAGTTTTGGCATTTGTGTGTCACAGTTGGATAGCTTATGTTCTGCACATCTGCCACATTATCTAGGAAAATGCATTAAAAACATTGTTTAAGGCTTCATGGTTAAAGGGACACTGTCACATACATTAGATACTTTTTCAAAAGTACTCTTCCCTTAGAGAGCAATCCTGCACACTTGTGTGGGGGGTGGCCGGATTAGACGAGCTAAAGGCTTTTTCAGGTCGTAATTTCCATGATATTAAGCAAGTGCCCTGTTTTACACACACTTTAAAAAAAAGTAATCTTGGGGACACAAGTGTATTCTCTTTCAGAACAGATGCAACACAGGGTAGTGTGACAATAGCAGCAGTAGCTCTAGAGCTCTGTGTAGGTCCTACAATGGAAGTAGTAATTTATTTCTTAAAACCACAGATCTAGTTCAAAAGACATGCTTCTCTCGGGCTCCCATTGTGTTTGTGCTTAGATCTTGGACTTTCCTACCTTATGACTCCAAATTGAGTCTTCCAGTCAGAGACTGGACCTTATGCTAAACAAAAAAAAAAGTGGGGGAATGGTAAGTCACAGTAAACAAGCACTGGGGGAAAAAAAAAAAAAATACAGCACATCAGACAACCTATCTGCACCAGAGTCCTAGCTAAGGTCCTGGATATGTCAACCATCCTGAGAGTTGATATCAGCACAGAAAATGACCCGTCAGGAGAACACACAAATGGACAATGTACTGGAACAGGCTAATGCTTGCCTCAACACCACAAACCCAAGAGCTTTAGGAATAAAAGAAAGTGGAAGGTGCTGAGCAGGAATGAGCACAAAACACTAGAAGATGCAACAGGCACATGAAGTACTTAGCTACAAAATTGAAGTCTTAGCTCAATCTCTCAGCCTATACATGGCTAATTTGGGGACTACAGGTAAGGAAGAATCTGTATCTACAAAAAGAAAAAGGAGTACTTGTGGCACCTTAGAGACTAACAAATTTATTTGAGCATAAGCTTTCGTGAGCTACAGCTCACTTCATTGAATGAAAGCTTATGCTCAAATAAATTTGTTAGTCTCTAAGGTGCCACAAGTATTCCTTTTCTTTTTGTAAATACAGACTAACATGGCTTCTACTCTGAAATCTGTATTTAGTTAGCTAGTTGGAAAACCTAGAGGCTGATCTCATCGGTATCAAGAAACTAGTATACAGAGTCCTTATGAAATACAACCAAAGCCATAACATAAGGAAACAGAGTTCTCCAACTTTCTTCTGATATTGCTCTTAATACAGTCTGTGGCCTCAGAGCCGTCTGTAGTGTTTTCCTAGCTACTCAGACAAAGACATGCTTTTATCCCTCTGAAGCAAAGCTTTTTAGGAAGGAAAGCTAAGGTTGTATTGGACCTAGCCAAATGAAAAAAAAAAAAAAAAAGTAAGAGACAAGACATAAGAGGACTGTGAGGCAGCAAAAAGACTGAGAATATAATGCAGCAGCAGCTTGTGAAGTTGTGCCATAGACACTAAGGCCCAGAACCACAAAGGAACTTAGGTGGTACAACACTGAGCATCCCCATGCCTAACTTTTAGGGACAGCGGGAGGGAATCACAGGAACAACGCTGTGATCCAGAAAGCTTCAGTTAGGCACCTAGGCTCCCTATACAGTGAATGGGGAGAGAAGAGGTGACTTAGAATGTGATCCACAAAGGCTAGCATGCTAGGTGGGGACCTGCCTAAATTAGGCAATGGGAGATGCTGACAACAGGGGTGTGCGCTAGGCCCTGCCCCTTTCTGAGATAAGCAGCAGGTATCGAAGTCTGGGGTGCAGGGAGGCCCCAATCTACTTAATAATCCACAGAGAGGAATCCGGTGCCTAAGGAGTTTCTTGCAGGAATGAGTTAGGCACCTCCCTTGCTCCACAGAAAACAGCCAGAGGAGGTTGTTTGAGCACAGCTGTTCAAGTCCCTCCTCTGCCTGAGTGGGAGAAAGGGAGACCCCTGTTCAGATCCTACCTCTTTAATGCTTTAACAACTGACCTCTGGGATTTCTGATGTGGGGCTCCCTCAGTCTCTTCTGTTGAAGTTGTTCCACTGGGGATAAACAATTGGAAAGTGACTGAACCACCTACCAAGTGGATGCCCTAACCACTAGGCTACTCATACACTCACTCTCCCCCCAAACCCTAGATTTTGGATAATGTGGATTGAGTCCAAAGGCTGGCTGTTCATTTGGTATAAACTGGAATGACAGGTTATGGAGCTATGCCAATTTATGTCAGCTGAGCTGGACCAAGACTGTATGATGAACACTTGTGTACCTACATAGGGACAGACATGTTCTGAAATATGTCGGGTAATGTGTGTTTGGAGTTCAGAAACAGAATGTCAAACCTTCCATCGCACTGGTGAGATGAAAAACTAACACAGTCTGTATCTTTTGAGTGTGGAATAGGTGTATAGCATGTTTCAGTTCATTCCAGTAATCAAAACAACACAGTAATTCGAGTTCTAAGCATCTGAGGGCATGTTTCTATTTCTAAAATACAACATGCAGGTTTTTCAAGAACACCCTCCTCCCCCCATTCTTATCTCTTTAAGCTGTGTGGAAAGAGTGATGTTTACACTGGGAAAGCACAGATTTAATTAATCCAGTGGTCTCTCTTATTTTAGGGGTGGGTTTTAGAAAAAAAACCCTCTAAGTGTTCAGTGCACAACCCATTACAGGCTATGGAAGTAATTATCATTCTGGGATAATGGGTGCATCGCCACTGATTTCATTGGGGTTGCTCCCACATAGTAGAGAAGAATTTGGCGCTGGCTCTGTGTGCTACTGAGTAGATATTAAATTATCTGCACTAAAGAATAAATATCCCAAACCTGTAAGAAACTCCCCTGCCTGTGTCCACAAAGTGCTCCTTGCAGAATCAGGGCCTTAGCAGGCAGTCATGTGTTTGCAAGAACTTGAATCTCCCGCACATCTTGTATTATTGTTGCACGTAGTCAGCATTTGTGTTAGGCTGTTGTCATTACACAGAAGTGAATTTAAATGTAAACAGGACACCTGAGTTCTTGAATACAGTTCTGAATCCCCAAAAAATTTAAAAGGGAAAAAGGCTAGAGGCTAACATGAGCACATCAGGTTGTCTTTCTAGGACACCAAGTCTATTTGAAAAGAGTCATCAAACTGATGCACGGGACAGCAGAAATAATCAATATTTACCCTTGAAAGCTAAGATGGTGGGTTCGAGGTTTTTTTAGGCAAACCTCATCCGCCCAGAATCTTCACAAAAGGAGAACTTTTCACTTCAGCTTAGTTTACTCAGAAACACACTACAGGAAGAGATCGAGCAACACTAAATTAAATGCAGAAATCTTATTGGATAGGGGACCTGTAGATATCACAGAGATTTCGCTACAGCATAGTCGCTTACCTGCTTCATAATCATTCTTATTTTTCAAGTGGAGTTTGGAATTCTATGGTGGAAGGATGTGGTTGAGACGATACTAACCTGAAACTAGAACAGACACAAAATCAAAACACTTTAATAGAAAGAATTAAACAACTAGAAGCAACCTGAATTATAGGCTGTCATCGGCTGCTCAGTGCCTACCACAACGGGGCCTGATCTTTGACTGGGTTTTTAGGACTAACAAAAATGGTGAGTGAGCAATATGTGACAGATATTTAAGTTCTTTGGAGTAGAGATTGTGTCTAATGCTTTTGTAGAGGATCTAGCACAATGGGGCATCAATATTATTGCAACAGTTTTTATAGTTCTTTGAAACAGCAATTTTTACAAAGATACTGTTGATCACGCTTTTGCGGCACATGAACTGAAACACGTTTAGTGCAGATGCTCACAAAATCTTGGGCCTCAGACCTTCAAGGGCAGTTCTTCTCTGAAAAGTGAGCCTGTAAAGATCCCATTGGAGGGTTCCATGTTTACTGTCTCGTCAGTGACTCCAGATCCTGAGTTTACCGGATTTTCCAGCTACCAGTCCTGCAAATTCAACCTGGACTTTGATACTCAAATACTGTTGATGAATGAAGATACAACATAGCCCTTTATGCTAGAGATCTGCGCTTCCGCTGGCTCAGAGATTAACACGGGAGCATTCCTAGGATGATCTCTACATACCAGCACTTTGTAGAGGAGTTTGCACCTGCTATGGATCTGGCACCCTATTTACAGAGTGATACACACTGTCAAAGCCTCAGTGAGCCAGTCAGACACCTCCTTTCATAATGCCCTTCTCTATAACTATAGCTAAGATGCAGCACCCCAGAGCAGTGCACAGGATTTCCACAGCCTGACCCACTTTTTTTGTGGTACCTACTCTACATGTGCTGTGCTGAATGTAATTGTAATGCCTTGTAAGAGCTGAATCAGAAATAGATGCAGGAAAATCCTTCCCAAACATAAGAGTAAGCGCTTTAATAAAACCGGATGGTTATTTTCTGCTTTTGGGGGCAGACCTAATGGTGATCAAAGGAAGCATTTCATCAGCTGTTGGGCGTGTAAGGAATAAAGATAGTTAACACTCCTAAAAATATATGTAAGTATGTATGTTATGGGCCATGGCCTAAGTTTTCCAGAAGTGACTTTGCATGCCCAACGTGAGGCAACTTGAAGGGGTCTGGGTTTCAGAGGGCAGACGCTCAGGACTTTCTGAATTTCAGACCCTTCTACAAAGCGTCTTAAGTTTGGCACCCCAAAAGTCACCAGTTGCTTCTGAAAAATATAGGCCTGTGGTTTTATACAAGAAGGACCTGAGCGAAAAAGTTAGGATCCACACTTTGCTCTGTATCAGCACCCTGTCTACTTTAAACTAACAACTAGACAAGGGCCTGCACTAAACCCCTGGATTTGAATGTCTTCTACCTCAGTATTATGCTCTTCTTAATACCATGCTATCTCAATGCTTTAAATATGCCATGTGTATTAAACAAAAATCACCATCTATACCTCTCTTTAGGGACCCGATCTGGGATAGTGACCTCAATGAGCTTCCAATCTGGCCCAACAGCCCCATCTGATCCTCCCTTGACAGGCAGGACTCCCATGCTTTACCTGGGATGTTTCCCATATCTCTGCCCCAATGAAGGCCACGTTAACTACTTGCCCAGGAGCAGAAAGACCCCACCTAATTAGCACACTCATTTGCACAGCTGAAAAACAAGCAGTAAATATGCACAGCTATAGAGAAGGACGGACAGGCTTGTAGGTAAGGTACTGGGCTGGGTCTCAGAAGATCTGAGTGCAGTAGCAGAGCCAAGGACAGATTTCCCAAGTGGGCTTAGGCGAGTCACCTAATTTCTCTGTGCCTCAATTTCTCCCACTTGTGAGACAGCTAGCTAGCTAATGAGGCTTTCAGACACCATTGTGACAAGCACCATAGAAAAGTCTTCAGATGATGTAATAGTCCCTAACATTTGCTTCTACTTCTATCTTTCTAGACTGATAAATAGAAGTGGCTTTTTGGAGACCGCAGTTCACTTGCAGTAAATTGATCAGCTTCATACTCATTCTGCAGTTACATGGACAGCACAGCCAGGAACTAGGTTCTATTATTCCTCTATGGGTTGCGTTTAGCCCTCGGGCACCATACTGTGCACTCCTGCAATATTGGATGGAGCTTTTACTGGGAATTTAATTGTGTACAGAAACCCTACCCTGGACTGACAGACAGTCACACAGAGCAGAACACAACAGGTAGGTTAACCACTTTAACCATCACTTTCTAGCTATATTTCCTGCTTTCCCTTATTAAATAACTTGTTCAAGAACTGCTAGTGGGAAGGGAGAAAAACCTCATAAGTTCACCAACAGGTGGAGTCTTTAAATCAAGATGGGATCTCTTTCTAGAAGAGATACTCAAGTTCAATGAGTAGTTGTTGTGCTTGAAAGTCTATGCAAGATTTCAGATTATATTATCACCACAGTAGTCCTTGCTAGTCTAAAATCTATCAAGTTATAGTCTAGTGATCTCAACTTGTTTATTCACAGACTGCTGTGACTACTACAAGCTATGGGGGTTTTCCACTAAAGCCTGTCTATATTACTAGTGTTAGCCTTGTTCAGATAGAAATGAGACAAGATGAGTGGTGCTAAATGTAACTGACTAGTCATCACAGAACAGGGCAAACTATGTTCAGCATTGTGTCAGCTACTCACGATTAAATTTTGGGTTGCTGAAACAGAACTTGTCTTTGTCTACACTGACCAGTCAGTACCATGCCAGCTAACACGACTCTTACCAATTGTCTTTAAATGCAGTAGGATTTTCCTAATATACAGAAGCCCTAAAGCTAGCTGTGCCCTGAAAAGTTGGAAGTTCAGTACTTTTATAATTAAGCTTACAAACGAATTCACAATAATGAAATACTTAACACCTGGGCTGGAAGTGTAGAACAAGAGGCTTTGCTTAAGTTCATGCTAGAAATTTAACAAAATGAAACTGAATTCACTTTGTCTTGAGCTGTAGGCCTTTCCCAGTGCAGCTCAAGCTATTAACTACTTTTTTCTAACTAGCAATAGCAGTTAGACCAGGAGGGCTTCCTCCAGGAATGATCTAGTAAATGAAAGCATTAAGTTAATAATGGCTTGAGCAAGTCAGATCATTATGGAGAAAGCCTACAGCACCAAGCACTGCTAACTTGATTTTTTATTGTCAGCGTGGCTTTAAGAAAACCCCCTTTGGTTCCAGTCAGTGTTAAGCATGGCCTTGACAAATGGCTGTTCTTCTCCATTAGGCATAACTTCAAGAGGCAAAAAAAAATTAAAATCCACAGTTGAATAATTGTTTGTTTGCCAGACAAACAAAGCCACCCCTATCATCCTCTGGGGATTATTGAGTTACCCCAACCAAGTTACTGCTGAAGGAGATTCACATCAACATCAGACACTGTGATGGGCACAAGAAATGTGAGGAGGGAGGGGGAAATCACCAGGTCAGTAGCAAAAGGGAATGTCTCAAGATGCACAAGAGCAGGGCTTGATAGTTACAGAGAAGCTCTGGAAGGCAGGTGGCTGGGGGAGGCCAGAGTTCCAATCCTATTTATGGGATAGACTCACTGTTGATTTCCTTGGAAAGAGTTCTGCCCATCATTTAGTCACGTTAATAATAGTTTAGAATGCCCTTTGCCCCACCCCCACAAACACCTTCCCAGTAGACAGAAAGCCCACCCTGTACCTGGGAATTGGTCCTGCTTCGAGCAGGGGGTTGGACTAGATGACCTTCTGGGGTCCCTTCCAACCCTTATATTCTATGATTCTACCACCTCAGCCCTCCACCAATGCCGACTCAACTAGATAGGCTATGCAGCATGCCCAGAAGGACAGCTAATTCAGATCTTGATCCAGGGCAGATCATTCCAAAGGAAAGTGACCCTCCAGAGAATTTGCTGTCAGCAGTGCCCTCCTTTCTGCTTAAAATGTTTTATAACTTCCTTTCTTCCCTCCCTTCAAAATCCTCTCCTAGGCTGAAGTTTCTAATGCTTGTTCTGTACTTTTTATTACTTAGGAAAACGTGCATGAGCCAAGCATGAAAAGATGGAGCATTGGGGCCCAAAGCACCAATGATCTCTCTCTGGAAGGACCCCCATGGAGCTCACTTGAAATCAATGGGGGGTCTACATGCATCCTTGCTTGATCAGGAAGTTACATTGGATACATCTTTCTTCTATGCTTTAAAAATATAGTGTTCAGATCTCTCAAAAAAAACAGCTATTGGATCATGTCCAAATATAAACCCATCACAACAACTAGGGAAAACACAACAGGTAATATATTGGAAGGGGAGCACACTGAGGCCAAGAGAATATCGTCTCCATTTCTAGCTGCACTATTCATAACTGAAGCCAGGTATCATGTTGCTATATTAGTCCGTGGTATTGATTTGTTCTTAATACAGTGAAATGCCCCTGTAATGAACTCTGCTGTGCCCTTAATAATTTCATATCAAAAGATGTTATGTGCCTTGCTCATAACAGGGTAACTGCAGCTCCCAAAATAGCAAACCTCATAATAAAGTGTTATGGAGGAGCCTGGATTTCAATATAAAAAGGACTTGGCAGTACTCAAGGGCTTTCTGGAAACAAATGCATACTTAAGAGTTGTATTAAAGTCATGTCAGTGACCAAATTACACCAGCACCAGGAGACGCTACTTCAGGCAGTGACTGAGCCCTGGGTCCCCGAGACACTTGTAGACAGATGCTGTACAGATTGGATTTAGTCCCATGGCACGGCCAGGACCAGCTGACAAGAAAGCAGCTGAGTTGCCCAGCTTCTGACAGCTGCTGACTCGGGAAGGGTGGCGTGCAGAGGAGGGCTGTAGTAACTGGAAAGAAATCATAAAAAGAGACCCAGAATTTAAGGTGCAGCATGGTTGTGAATTGATCCGAGAGGTGGCATGCTTGAAGCATAGGAGACGGGAACCCCTGCATTCTAAAGCTGGCTCTGTCACCGATTGATAATGTTGCCTCAGGCATGTCACTTTACCTATCTCTGCATCAGCTTTTCCAGTCTGTGGAGGGACTACATCCATTTGCCTCCCTCCCCGGAGATGTCGGGAGATTTGTTATTCAGTGTTCGTGGGGGGCCAGATTTCCAAGAGCTCATCATTCACAATTAGGGCCTGACAGTCAAGAGATCTCCGCTCCCGTGGAGGCGCATAAATCAGGGCCAGGCGTTCTGGGCACTGAGTGCTATTGGAGCTCCCATTGTGATGCTCGTGGCCAGACGGTCAAGAAAGCACAGCCCCCAATGTGCTTTATCCTTGCAAAAAGTGGGCCCATCATGCTCTGAAGCACTACACACTGCTAAGATATTATTAAAAGTTCCTAGATTGGTCTAAGAACTGCTTCAATACTGCAGTTGCCGATGTTGCCTCACTTTACGTTTCTCCTTTTATACAGCAATAGCCTGCACATGGGCCTTGTACCAGAGAAATATTGACGCTGGCAGTGGAAAACAGACCGAGAACAGCAGCGGAGTCAGCCGTGAAGTTCTGTGGAGCAGGAATGGAGCAAAAGGGAAGAGAATTAATAGTTGGCATCCTATAAACCACAAAGGTGGAAGGAAGCTAAAGATGAACCACGTTTAATGTATGACCTGCCCTCAAGACAAGCTGCTCACAGGCGGTGTGTTAATTACCAGGACATCTACCGACGAACACACAAGAAACAATAGGGCAAGACTTGCAACTGCTAAGAGAACAAATTCCCTGTTTTAAATAGGTTTCAGAGTAGCAGCCATGTTAGTCTGTAGCCGCAAAAAGAAAAGGAGGACTTGTGGCACCTTAGAGACTAACAAATTTATTTGAGCATAAGCTATTGTGAGCTACAGCTCACTTCATCGGATGCTGTAGCTCACGAAAGCTTATGCTCAAATACATTTGTTAGTCTCTAAGGTGCCACAAGTACTCCTTTTCTGTTTTAAATAGTTAAGAAGTGAGGCACTAGGGGATTTAGGGCCTGATCTAAAGCTCGCTGGTGTCAGTGGGAATCTTTCCATGGACTTCATGGGCCTTTGGATCAGGCCCTTAGAAGTGAACACTAATAAAGAGGAAGTCAGAGTTCCCCCGATACACGAACAGCCCTCTCCTCACTCTGCCAACGGTGTTGCCAGCAGGGGTCACTGATCTCTGGCAAGGTCTGCACACCCACTTGTCAGTTTCACTCACTTGTTGTCAGCAAGTGCATTTTCCAGACGCGCTAACATAGTAAGGGAATCAATGTGTCAGCCCCTTATGAAAGAACAGCGCGATAAGCAACACAGGTTCATAAAGAACAGATTGTACCAGACAAACCTGATTGCCTACTTCGACAAAATTGCAGATTTAGCTGACAAAGGGAAAGAAGAGAATTTAATATAGCTAGATGAAGACAGGCTTTAGGCAGAGTCCCTAGTGGAAAAATAGCAGATTGGGATGAGATGTCTTCTAATCAGAAGACATTGGAGAGTTTCCTGTTATCCAGTGCTGTAGAGAGAAATAGTCATATAAACAAACAAGTTACTAAGAAGATCCAAGTACATGTTTCAACACTTCCATGGGAGAGACTGGCTGCAAAGTCATCACATAGCTGAACCGTGGAGGAAAGTTTCTAGACCCCCATCCCCGTCTCTAAAGAGAGGGCTTAAAGGCACTTACCTTATACCAGAGATGTTTAGAGAGTCACTGGAAAGATTCACTTCTTCCCCTACGCTGCTCTTGGGGTGGAAGACAGAATTAGCACCTATCCAGAGAATAATAAAATCATCCTCCCAAGGAAAAGCAACACATACTCATTCCCCCTGGTTCTGGGAAGCACCACAGGACATCACAGCAGAAAAGCCCCTTTATGGCCCCATTTCACTGGATGTTCTAATCACACAGGTCGCTTGTGTCACCTCCCAGTCCTACTCTCCCTTTCCTACATCCCCTCTTCTTCTCCCTCCTGCCTCCTCAATGCTCCTTACACACACGCTTCTTCACTCTATTCTTCTCCCAAGCCTTGGCAATGAGCTCAACATAAGCAGGCCCCTCCCTGCCCCAGCGTGGAGCTCATTAGAGCATATGGATAACTTGCTGGGAGAAACTTCCTGTTTGGGAGGGTACTGAAGACAAGCTAATCACCTGAATGTGCCACACCTGGAATATTCTCCTTAGCCTGTTTTCAAGCAGATGAACAGGGAGATCTCTCCTTTCCCCTCGCACCTTTAGATAACAGGAAAGCAGTTAACTTAGACTGTAAGCTGTTGGGGTATGGACTGTCATTTGCTTTACCAGTAGAGTTCCTGAGAAGCAATGAGTCTCAAATGTCAATGCAATTTCCTTTCTTTAACAATTGCATCTGTAACATAATGGATGATGACGGAGTCAGTATCTTCCTCGGAAAAAACTCTAAACTGTTGCTACTCTGTCTCTAGCCTACTTCCTGTTAGATACCTGCAGATGACACTTTGCTACAATATGTGTGCACAGCACCTAGCACAATGGGACCCCATCTCAGCTGAGGGCTAGTGCAATAGAAAGAGAAGCACTTTCCAAGGGTGTGTGGAGAATACAGCTTATCTGTGTTCATATACAAATTCCAGAAACCTTCTGCCTATAAAACAAACAGAACTGAGTTACCTCAAAGCAAAACTATATTTGCCACCGAACAAAAATTGAAATACTTGCTGAAACTAGATTTGTTTTCCCGATTGAAATCAATGTAATAGAAATGCTGTTGACATTCAGCATTTTCATGGACATATAACCACTTTGGTGCAATAATTTTTATTATTATTATTTATGTTACAGGAGCACTTTCAGATCCCCAGACGAATAAGAGTTGTGCTCGGCCTTGTGCATACACACGGTAAGAGAAACCTTACAAGCTAAAGGGACAAGCCAAAGGAAATATTCATAGCCCTGTTTGTACAAATGGGAAACAGAGGCACAGAAAGACTAATGACTGGATTTTTCAAAGGGGCCCAGCTGCATCTACAAGTGGGGCCAGATTTTTGGGTGAGCTCAGCTCCCATCTGGGAAAATCTGGCTTTAGATGCTTAAAGTGCTGAACCCTACTCAGCTCCATAGAAAACAGAGGAAGCTGGCAAGTGCTGAGCACATCTGACAATCTGGCCCCTTCTTCTAGGTGCATAAATGGGCACAGAGCTCTTTTGATTTGGCCAAATCTGTGGCAGAGCTGGCAAATGAACTCAAGTCTCCTGACTCCCAGTCCAGTGCTTTAGCCACAGTTAAATAAAAAGTTTTACTGGGGGAGGTTTGTATTTTAAAAATCCAGCTCCATTCTATTTGATTCAGGGTTGTATGATTCTGAAATCTGGATAAATCATTGAACTATTCCTTTTGAGATGATTGTCACATGGATATAGACCTGACAGACCATAAATAAATTAACCCTGAGCCAAACCCCTTCAACATAGCATGAGGTATGAAGCAAAGTAGCACCAGATCAGTCTTGGGCTGGAATATTATTTAAAACTTTCATGAATGGCCTGGGGGATGGGGAGGGAGTAAATGACAATATTGATCACATTTGCGAATCAGACAAAACTAGAAGGGACTGAAAAAAACACAGGAGGATGAATGGAAATGACAGCGTGCCCAGGAGAGACGGACAAGTCTAAATGGGATGCGGTCTGATTCAGCTAAATGTAAAATACTCTGTGACGCACAAGCGTAGACACATATAACAGGAGAGTGCTATCTCAAGAGGAACAATGTGGGAAGCGAAGGGGGGGGGGAAGAGGGGGAGTAGCCTGCAATGTGACACAGGTGAAAAAAAAGATAACAATGCCCTTCTGCGGTATATAACCAGGGTTGGCACCTGTAGGAATAGAGGGGTAAGGATGACTCTTTTTACTACCTTGATTAGCTAGGATTTATTATTTGTACTGCAGTAGTGCCTAGCGGCCTCGGCTTGCCAGGTACTGCACATACACATACAGATAGACACCAGAACTCAAAATAGACAAGACAGGGGAGTCTGTGGCAGGGCCAGGAACTGATCCCAATCTCTTGAGTCCCAGCTCAGTCTCACCCGTAAGACTGTCATTCCTCTCATTGTACGTTTTGGTGTCCCACATTACAGAACAGGCATTAACAACTTAAGAGAATCCAAAGCAAGGGGGTTAAAGGTGTAGAAGATCTGAACTGTGAAGAGGGGCCTAAGTGTGGCTTAAATAGGCAAATTTTGAAGGAAAAGGAGCAGAGAGACATACTAAAGCTAAGCAATAGCTCAGTATCTCTGAGGGCATGTGGTCCACTGCATACAGCATTTTATAATACTGGAAATTCAGAAAATCCACACATACGGCTGTGATTCAGGACCTCTGGATTCCATTGCCTGCTTTGCTTCTGACTTGCTGTGTGGTCTTTGACAAAATTTGGCCTCTTGCTGCCTCAGTTTCCCCATCAGTAAAATGGAAATAATACCTCACATGGGAGTTGTGAGCCTTAATACATGAGTATAAGATTCCCTTCAATGAAAGGGCTTCGGCAAGCAGCTAGGGTAATGTTACCATTACCAGTGTGAAAGGTTTTAATATAAAGATATAGGGCAGGATTACTTGTAGTGCCTCAGAGCAGCCAGAGCCCTGACTTGAAAATTAAACTGGGCCCATCTAGGTTGTAGAGAAAGCAATCTGTGTGCTGTGGAATGACCTGCCAACAAGCTTGGATGTTCTTGGGAGAGGCACTCGGCCTAGACGTCCCTCAGGTAGGGGAGCAGCTGGTGCTTTGTCGCTGCCAATGTGTGAGCTAAAACTAAACAGCTAAAAACAGCTAAAACTCCAGGGGCAGTCAAGTAGAAGAGAGGCCCTCTCCCTGCAGGGAGCAGTGCTTCTTTGAGAACCCGAGCAGGTTTCTATGGTGACCAGTTAGTGGGGAGCCATTTTAGTGGGAACCTTCATTCTGAGCAAATTAGGAAACAAAAATCCAATCTGTAAAAGTTGCTCTTCTGCTTCCACTGCAAACTCCTTCCCCCAGCTTCCTCACGCAGCAGCACGGCAGGTCCCGTGGGTTGCCCCTGCTGATGGGCCAGCCAGAGTAAAGGAAAATTGGGCTGGATGGCAGGAGAGCTGGAGGCGTTGCATGTGTGAGAAGAAGGAGAAGAGCTGATCTGAAAACATCGCTTTCCCCTCTTGCCTCTGCTACTGTATTGTCACAAATCTGTGGCGGCCTGGCACAGCGTGGTTGTCACTCCGCTGCACACCGTGGCCACAAGCATTTCACAACGGCAGCAGGGATTTCACCCAGATCCTCCTCCTGTTTTCAAATCACAGGACTGTGTTCCCCATATTGAAGAAGAATCTCCGTTAGCTGCTACCAGTATATGGCCTAGGACACACAGCTGAGCAGTTCTGAATCAGGACAGCATAGCCAGCCAGTTCATTCAATTAACTCGGGAAGCATTTTGGGGGAAGGAAATAGGCTACACGTTGCATATCTTATTTGTGTACCTCCTTGTCTAAGCAGGGTCAAGGAAGGCCAGTGCTTGGATGGAGACCTTCAAGAACACCAGGTGCTGCAAGAAATAACGTTTGTGAATCAGTCCAGGGCACTCTTCCCTCTTTAGTCAGTACTGAGTAAATGCCCCAGCATGGCACTAAGGGCACTCCCTCCCCGGAAGGCACATTGGGTGAGTCTTGCTTCTCAATTTGTCTCCAAAGTCTCAGCTTGCATTTAAACAAAAAAAAAAAAAAAAAAAAGGGTGCATCTCCAGCTGTTACAATTGCAAAGAAAACCTTCAACACATAACCTAAGTGTAACCGATGCTGCAATATCTGCCGGAGTCTGCAGAGAGCCTGAAACAACAGTACTGAAGAGCAAGCTGTTCTGTTCACCTCACTGGGTTCTAATTCAGATCCAGTGATGGTACTTTACATACCACCACTGTTAACTATATCACTGCTCTCCAAAACGTGTAACAATAGAGAGGACGTATATTGTGAAGACCTACACAAGCTGCTTCGGTGAGCTGGTGTTTTGGATAGGCCTTTTACAGCACCTGGCCAAACTGAAAGGGGATGCTCGTGGATTTGTTTCCTGGTGCTGGCTCAGCTGTCCAGAGTTTGGGAAATCCTGCCCCGGGGTATGTTTGCAAGAGTGTTAGCACTTGAGAGGGACCAGCATTTCACACGGGGAAGATAGCTCACTCTCCCGGCCATACAGGAATCTTTCCCTCGGTGCGAATAATAGCGGTTTCTGCTAGCAATGAGTGCTGGAAATGCCGAGCACTGAAAAGCTATTGTCGTTACCACGGAGCAGCAGTTATAAAGAGAGACAGCAACTGATCTTAATAGGCTCAGTGTGTGAACTACTTTCTGTTAATGTAGGCCCTGGTTACGATGCCAGGGGACAGGCGTCCTTTACAGTGAATAAGGTTTTAAACCCCTGTATGCTTAATGGTTGAACAATGATTCACTGAATACATTCATTGGGCACCAGCCATCCCTGCTGTTCATGATTATACCTTGTTTGAGTGAATAATCCGCCCCCTCCCCCCCAACTTACCTTTTCTAGGGACTCTGCATTGATCTTTCTGTTGTCTATTCCTCCTACCCTCCCAGCAAGCCAGGAGATGTCACCAACACAGCCACAGCCCCTAGTCATGACGCGGCTTTTAAACAGAGCAGCTTTATTAGCTGGTGTTTTTCCTGCAGTAACCTCTCCCCAAAGAGGAACGTGACACAGTTGGAGGTTATAATAGCTGCACTTTAATAGCATGGAAACAGGCCAAGTTACAAATAGCAGAATAGTAAAACCCCAATTGCTGTTTAGCATCTTATAGCAGCTTCCAGGGCCGCGTGCAAGCAACGTTAGCCAGCGGTGCAGTGAGCAACACATGTGCACCTCACAGGCACGCACCTGGCCAGGGCTAACCAATGCGTGACGTGCGTGCAGCGCCTCGGTCTCTGCACCAGCCATGCTAGCCAGGGCACTGGGAACCAAAGACAGGCGGCTGGCAACGAAACGCTAACAGGTGCCCTGGTAATGGGCTAACATCTCGCAAATCCCAATTTCAGTGTCAACCGCCCTCCACATTAGTACAAAAACAGTTATACAAAAAAATCAGTCATGGCTAAAAGCACCGTTCTGCAACTAAGGCGTTCGCAAATATTATGTTCTCCATGAAGCAGTGTGCTTTGCTGAACCCCGCTCAGAGCACTGAGAGGAGGGCAGAGCAGCATGAGGCAGACTCATAGATTCGAAGGCCAGAAGGGAGCACTGTGATCACCTCGTCTGACCTGTATAACACGAGCCCTTGGACTTCCACAAAATAATTCCTGTTTGATCAAGGGGATGAACGATATTATGGGCAGCCCCATGATCAGAGAGAGGGAGTAAGTGGGGATGGGCACGGGGTCTGTGCACAGGCGCCAGGGGAACCAGCAGCCAGGAACAACGCCAAGGAGGGGATTCACAGGCTGCAAAAGAAACAAAGGTCTCATGGGAAACCCTCCAGATTAAATAGGAGACATGGGAGGAATGGGGCTCTCTGCAGAGATCCCAATGCATGTTCTTTGCTTGGCATCTCCTTGGAGATGGCGAGAAGGCAATTGGGTTAGTGTGAGGCATACAGCAATGGGGAGGGGATAGTTGGGTTAGTGTGGGGCAGACGGCAATGGGGAGAGGGTAATGGGGCTGGGGAACGGGCAGTTGGGTTAGTGTGAAACATACGGCAATAAGGAGGGGGCAGTGGGGTTATCCTGAGGTGTGAAAGTGAGGAGGACTATCCCAGGAGGAGTGGTGTGTTTTCTAAAGGGACCAGAGATTTTGTCCTGTGCCCACTGGGCTTCAAAAGCTAAGCCAATTAGAACCGTGATGGGCGTAACAATAAAGTGTAACTGGCCCGCAGTGAGCTCAGGACATACAAGTGAATGAGCTCATCCCAAGACGATGGTGCTCAGTGGAGGAAGTGCTGTGTGACACTTCTGGCTGGGCCCGTACCAATGCATGTGAACTGTCAAGGGAGGAAACAAAGCTAGGAACAGGAGGGAAGGACAGGGAGAGGATGAACCAAGAACTGCATTTATTACATAAGGTGGTTTGAACAGGATTTTGCTCTCACATCCCCGCTTTAGGCCTGAGTACATTGCAACATTTCCCCACTCCCCAGGCCAACCTCAACGCAGTCTGCGGTAACAAAATCTACCATACGATGTGAAAATGCACATTTCTCTAGAGCTGCGACTAACTTCCTTCCATCAGAGGAGGGGAGCAGAGGCCTCTCCACTTCGACTCTTCTGGAGTTACATGCAATAGGCTCTTCTCAGCTCCGGCGAGACACCTGGCATGCACCCCCCCCGCCCCGAAAGCTGCACTTGCATTAGGCCCAGCTCAGGTAGCTGGGATGCAGCAATGCTTCATACGCCGCACTGTCTGTGGCATGCAGAGTGCCACTCTGTGGTCAGATATATTGACGGCAGGAGGACATTTCCCTCAAGGGTTTTGCTCCTATCACATTGGCACAGGGCTAATAAGGGGGACACTTGTGGTTATGGTTGTCATTTTTAATTCCTAAGGCAAACACAGAGTGAGCTCAAAGCTGGACTGCAGAGAGGCTGCCAGACTCATCCGCTCCGGCACTCTCCGTGCACACATCCAGGGCTGAGGCTCGACTGCTGTGAGCTACGCCAAGGGCACGCGTGTGCCCAGGCCACAGACACAGGAATGCATCCCTGCAGCACAGGCCCCAGGACAGAAGTAGAGCTCATCATATGGCACGACCCTGGCACTGCCTTCCATTGCACTGCAGTAGCTAGTGCAAGCCCCTGTACCGGATGTGGAGGACTTCGGTTAAGTTTAGGGTGCGTGGGTGCAACTGGTGGGCAGACAGTAGAGCAGAATTAACCGGGCTCTCCGGCCAGGGGTTGGACTCACTGTTCACGCACATCCTGCCTGTTACTGCTGCCAGGATTTGAACACACAGCCCCTGGCAGGCCAGAGGCAGCAACACTAGCAGCTGGGCTGGATAGGAGCTGCCCCCTGGCAGAGCCTGTGGGAGCCATACTGAGCTGGCCTCAGCTGCCACTCTTTGCACGTGTCATGGCCAGCAGGGCCTTTCCCACTCGGGCAATGAACGTGAAGCTGAGCCTCCTGAAAAATACTGTAATACACACGGTGCGGCACACTGTGTGTAAACACCTCTGTGTGCGCTCACTCAGGGCCTGACCCCACAAGATCCTGGGTCCTCAGCTACCATAGGAGCTGTGGTTGCTCAGCACCTTGTGGGTCTGGATCCCTATAAAGCTGGCTAAACAGTGCCAAGGAACTAATTTGTCTCCTGCTTCCCACTCTATTCTCCCAGATCAACTTGTTCAGGTTAGAAGGACTAGCTGGGTCCAGCGGGATTTTTTATTCCCTCCCATGCTCGCTATTTATTTACACTATGTACTGTATACTATGCACACTCGTGCCCATGCCCCGAGACATAGGCTTCAGCATGGCCTGATCCAAAGCCCAGTGAGCCAATGGGAGTTTTTCCATAGATGTCCATGAGCTCTGGATCAGGCCTCTTGTTGGGGAACAGGAGGTGTCAAGTGCCCTAAACTTCTATTGGCTTCAATGGGGCTTAATGGCTCTCAGCACCTTGCAGGATCGGCTATCCAGGAGTACTGAGCATCAACAGCTCCCAGGACCCGCGGGTGCTCAGCACGCTGAAAACCGGTTCCTGGAGATCAGCGCTTTTTAAGCTTTTCCATATGGAGACCCCCACTCCCACTTAGCAACATGGGAAGGACAGGGCCGTTGTGATTTCCTCACAGTTGTTTGCAACCCCTTTGAGGATCGTGAACCCCCAGACTTAGAACCTCTGCTTTCCAGCTTTGGCCTGTTTTCTCTGAGACCCTTTCTGTCGCTGCAACCCTGCTAAACCACTACTGCATGTTATCTCGTTGGTATGGTTACAAAGGATAAGTAGAGAGTCTCTAGCTTTATTGTCTATTGACCAGCAACTTAAACTGAGTTATAAAAAAAAGCATGAATATTACATGGGGGAAATATAAAACAGCTCAGAAGACAAAGGCCTGGCCATTCTGCCTGGTCACTCCCTCCCTCTGGACAGTACGTCTTCCAGGGAGCGGGTACAGACAACTGGCAATACACACTTAAGTAACTAAAAATATTGCTTCAAGCAATGTGCTCAGTATTTTCCTTTTTGTTAACAGTCAACTTCTCAGGAACTGAAGAGTAAAACGAGCAATAATTTAGAGTTTTATCCTTTAGAGCGTTCTGTAATAATTTAGGTTCTCTTTCCCCCTTCCACCACCCCAGGGGCAAAAATGCCCCTCCACCACACTCTTTGCCTGTGTTAGCATCGAGAATTATTTCATTATGCTGCTGCATTGGGGATTCCCAGTTTCACCTGCCCTTATTTGTTTTTTCACCTCATCACCTTTTAACCGCTTATTGGGAGGCTTCTGGTATGTGGAGCAAAGCCTCCTGATGGTGTAACAGGCCCTGTGGGACACTGGGAGATTCCAGAACTGTTAACTGTCTGGCTGCCGGGCTCAGTATGTGCCCAGAGTCACAACAAACTCCATAAAGGCCAACAAAGGGAATAAGTCACTCAGCTTATACTGTCTTCCTGCAGTGAACGGACTTTCCCAACCCACACCCCACCTCTGTTCACTCTTACTGACAAAGGAAGTATCTCCAAGGACCCTCAGACACTCTTTGGCTGGGACTCTCAAGAAAGCCAACCCACACAGCCCTGAGTTATTCATTTCACTGCACAACCCAACGTGTGCTTTTCAGTCAACACTTTACCCTGGATCTGCTGTCCTTGGCCAACTTCTGAAGGGACTGAGAGGGGAGTTTGATCAGTTTGGGGGATGGGATTTGCAGTTGCTGATCATCAGGGATAAATTACGTGCCTTAGTAGCTTGTGATTTCTCCCCTCCATCACCAGGACCACAGAGATCTCTGTGAAGCAGAACTTAATCAGAGCATGGAAGGGTATAGGATCCAGCTCCATGGAATCCCATGAATCTATTGCTGTAAATGTAAATCCTTTGGAGCAGGGGTCACCATACACAGGACGCTGTGCTAGGTGCGTATAGTGAATTCCTGGGATGGAAGGGCGTCACTGACAATGCTTATGATGGGAAGGAGCCAGGAGTGGCTGGTGGTGAAACAGGGATCAGCACTGCAGCATCTGGGGAGGACCAGGATCACGGTCACCCTGCAGAGCTTGGAGGGCTCCAAAAGGAAAGGAATATTCAGGGGCAAGCCCAAGGAGAGTTTGGATTTCTACAAAGGTGGCTAGAATGGGAACCCCTCCCTCCCACAAGGACTATACTTCAGGGCCCTGCACCAAAGTGGGCTGGACAGGACCCAGCCACACACAATTCTGAGTATCCCACCTGCTTCTCGGTGAGCCAAAGAGGCTGTTCTTGAGCAACACAATGCCCTGCACCAACCCCTAAGGATGAGCTCACCGACTCCCCTAGGCCTGGAATGTTTTAAAAGCACTTTCCCATAACCCACATGGATGTTTCTCATACTGCAGCCTCAAGAACACGCTGCTCCCTTCAGGAACTAGCCACCCACTCTACAGACCTG